TAATAAATTGATGTTTGCTGACACACTACCCAATGTCTGGAAATATGCACTTTGCTTAAAATGTTAATTTTTGCAGATTCTCACAAATTTTCAAATTGTCATGTTTATTTCTCCTGTTATTCTTGCCTTTTTCTCCAAATTATTTTTGTATTAGCTTTGCATTTAACCATGTTTTATCCATTCAACATACAAAGCCTCATTCCTTTGTATCTCCATCCACATGCAGTCTTGAATCTGATGATGACTATTTAAGATTGTTAAAAACATTGATTCATCAAAAGTAAATGCTAGAGTTTAAGATGGTGTAAGTTAAACTAGTAATTACTTCAGTTGGATAATATATCATCATCTGATAGCAATTCACTTAATAGTTATAGAATTTGTACAATAGCTAAATCATATACTTAGGCAATCGTAACTTGGAGAGTTTTGAAAATTTTTGAAAGATCAATATTTAGCAAAAAGTAATGGATATAGAATATGCTATGTACAGTACTTTTAATCATGTATTACAGAATACATTATTATTTATTTATTTATTTATTTAGTATAAGGTACAAATACCCTTTGTATGGAGTGTCCCCATAAGAAACAAATACAGTTGTGTGGTTTGACTAACATGGTGTTGCCACTTTATATTTTCCATATACAGTGGGTGATTCGTTAACTAACAGTTCGGATAGCGAACAAATCGGATAACAAACACTTCGCGAAAGATTTTTATGATCACTTTACTGAACAAACATAAAAAGAAGCAATGGAAAATAACGATTACCAATTGATTTTTCCCATGTCTTCAGGTAACAATTCGAAACCTTTTGGAGCATGGGAGATGTCAACATCGATGCCCAACCCGATACCAATCAGATAGTATAATATTCCACTGAATTTTGAAACTCTCCACTGTAATTCCAGCTTTTTGCTTACCTTTCTGACAAATAATTTTTTATAGTATTTTCGAAACTGTCGGATGGGCACTTGTTAAGTTTTGCGTTGGGGTTTATTTACGAAAGGTGAAAGTTTAACTGTCCCATTGTATATTCATTAACATTTTAATACCAAATTTCGAATTTCATCCAGGCCATGCATTTAAATAATTTTTTGTGGGCTAGTTGATTTCTGTTCTCTAAATTTTTGTAAATGCTTTTCTGAACTTTTTATTTCAAAAAGAAACTGATAATATTATGGATCCTAAAAAGAGGAGTGTCAAGAACTATGCTCACTGTAGAAACCAAGTAAGAGATAATAGCCAAGGTAGAAGTGGGCACAAGATGTCTGATGTTGCTAGGCAGTATGGCTTGACTAGGTCTACAGTAGGCACAATCTTAGCTATGAAAGATATATCAAGAAGTCTCAAGCTGCTAATGGAGTAATGAAAATCACATCTGAGAAATAAAAGCATTTTAGAGCTCATAATGGAATCTGAAACAGATCTGATGACAGAAGAACTCCGAGAACTCTCAAATGATGAATACCAAGAAACTCAGTGAGATGTGTTTTCTTTTGAAAAAGAGGAAAACAAAAGAGGACCATGTCGACATCTGCTACTAAAGATCTTTTGAAGAAGTGGGAGGATGTCAGAACAATGATCATCCAAGTGGCATCCAAACCAGAATAGGGTTAATGGGGTTTGAGATCTCTACAGTTACTATACTATTAATTACTTCCGAAAAATCCTGAAGAAAAGAGAAAAGCAATTGACATTGGATAGATTCTTTAACCCCCACAAATGGAAATAAAAACATGACTAATAAAAATGCAAGACTGCATATATATGTATTTTTTACTAATACATATAACTAAACGTAGTAAAAAAGCGCATATATTTTATTTTTTTGAGTCTCCGGAATTAATCAAATTCCCATTAAAACCTATGGTAAATCGATAATCAGATAACGAACAAAGTCTTGGAATGGATTGTTTGTTAATTCATCACCCACTGTATATTTATTTTCTTTCTGATAACAGTAATAAATACAATTCATTATACTGTTTAATGCATTATATATGTGTATATATATAAGAAAACTTGTTTTTTAGTAAAAATGAATTTTGTAGTTTTATGTATATTCAATCTTTTTACTATTCCTATTGTAATTTTAGGGCACTTAGTTTTACATGATTATTGTTTATGTTGATATAAGTAAATTTGGATATAATGTAACATCCTAACATCCTGTTATAACAGGCTATAGCATATTATGATTAATAAATTTGATTTGATTTGAATCTTTTTACTATTCACCATTTCCATAGGTAATTCAGGTTAATAGTGAAAAGGTAATCTCTGTACAAAATCTAAGTTTGTACATGCAAAAACCAAAACAATAAGCATTACTTAATGCAACATCCCATGCATAATACAATTTCACTACATAAATAAAATCTCCAGTACAAAAATATAATTACAAAAACATAATACAAAATTCCACACATGATAATTAGTAAATATTATTCCAAACATACACAATTAACTAATAAGCAAACTGTACAAACTGTGACAACCTGATGCCATGACAATAAAAATGAATGGAATTTAAAATAAAAATAGAACTAACAAATAAATAAATAAATTAATTAATTAACCTACCTGGAAAAAATATGAAAATAAGAAATATGCAAAACAGGTTAGCAATATGTTGTCACAGCCAATCAACACCAAATTAACCCCAAGAAAGTTGAATCTAAATCTCTTTTAATACTGTGACACTGCCGCCCTCTGAAATACAAATTAAACTCAAGCTTTATAAAACAGAGAAATAAAATGAAATATGTTCAACATGTTAGCAAAAGAAAAAGATGTAATATTTGAAAAATCCACCCGAGATAATGAATACATTATCAATACATGAGGCCTATCCATAATGTAAGCTTTGCCTTTACTTGTGTCTAAGAGCAGAGATTTAACATATCCATTCATGATTGTGAATGTGTTCTATTATAAATGGTCTTTGTTGAGCATTTCAAAATGAGTGGTAAAGTAGAAAATTCTGCTAAATAAGGCAAAATTGATTATACAGTTTTTTAGCTCAAAATATGTTTCATTCATCACAATTCTTAAAGTTATGGATGTTTATGAAGTTATGGTGAAGAAGCAATGAATATTCAAAGTGTGCGAAAATAGTCTTCATATTAGCCTTGCCTTATGAATAATCTGCACCATAATGATGTCTTCTGTTGATCACAGATGTTACTGATGAAATTTTTGCCAAGTAGTGCTTTGACTAATGCTGAAAACTACTGTTATTTGCTTCAGAAATTATGCCATGTGATTGAGAACAAGTGATGAGATTTACCCATGACAATGTCTTACTTCATACTACTGTTCACATGCAAACATTACTGGAAAGTTCTAATGAGACATTTTTGAACATCCATCCTTTGCTTCCTCAGATTTCCATATCTTTTCTTCACATGAAGAAATTTTTGTCCAGCCAGTGAGTGAGCAGTGATCAGAAGTCAAGAGAAGTTATCAAGGGACTACATCCTTGTTGGAGGAATTCTTTGACTATGGCATTCAAATGCCATACTTGAAGAATGACAAATATTTCAGTTCTAGCTACATATGCATAGTAGTGTAATCATAGTAATTATGTAAGTAAATAATTGCATGTCTGTGCATGATTGTACCTAACTGTCATGTTTCTATTGTTGTTTAAGTGTTAGACTATGCAACTAACTTCTAAAATTTAATTGTAGAACATATTACATAATACTTTGTAGAATAATAAATTTCAAAAATTTTAATTAGCTGTAAATTGTTATTAATGTGAGAAAATATTTTACATTATAAATTTTCCATAAAATATTATTAATCAGTTATTGGTTGGTGATATTTAACTGTTCAGACAGTAACTAGATTTAGGATAAATACAAAATTTGAATTGTTTTTCGAAAAAGCTTAGTGTTATATTCTTTTCATAAATTTATGAAATTTATTTTTTTTCTTACTTTTCAGTAAGAAAAAAATAATGAAAAGACATTAGATATTTTTATATTTAATATTGTATTAAATGTCTTTAATAATTTTTATTAAGCTTTAATAATAATCAAGCATAACTGCTTGATTATTATTAAAGCTTAATAAAAATTTTTTATTAAACTTAATAAAAAGATTTTATTGTAATTATACTTATAAATACAGGATGTTTTTGAAAAGTCTTGCCAAATTTTAACAGCATGTTCTATAAATTAGTGATAAACTTCCATATAAACATAGGTCCAAAAATGCTTCCTTTTCAGGTTACAGTAGTTTAAAAGTTCTATATACAGTTAGTGTGTTTCATGTATCTTGCCATTAGCTCAGCTATATGTAAAATGAATATCTTTCATTTCTGAGTTAGAGTAATGGTTCATTGTATTAAAGAAGACTTAAAATGTCACTTGAAAACATAGAAAAATATAGATATCAAATCATAGCTGCTATTAATTTGTATTATGTAAAAGTGTTTAATTACAGCTAATTTTAAAATTATTGTAATTTCAAAAGGAAGCATTTTCAGATCTTTGTTTATGTGGAATTTTTTATGATCCATAGAACATACTGTTACAAAGATGATACCTTTCAAAAACACTCTATATAAAATATTTCTCCTGCTATTTACAGAGTTGAATCTTTAATTAGTTTTTATTTCATTTATTATAAAAATCATTTAAAATTATATACTAGTTTATTTTAATCAAATTAAAATAATAATTGGATATCATAATTTTATAACTGTTTAAATAAACTGTATGAAGTTATTCTTAAAATAAGTTAATTAATAAATTAACTTATCCTAGAGATAATTCTCTAGGATGTATATTTGAAATTTTAAAAACTGATATTTGTTTATCCTAATTATATTCTTGAAATAAAAGCAAATTTTAATATAAGTTATATTAAAGTATTATATATGTCACTGTTATATTAGTGAAGTTTTTAACTTTCAATAATTTTTGCATGCAATATTAATTAAATTTTCATATTCTTATATTTTTTGCTTTCATTTACTCTTCAGGTTGCAGTACCATTCTTTGCTTTCCCAAAAATTTTAAAGCGAGAAAAACAGAGATTGTTGAGAAGTGAAAAAATAGAATTTCTGATGAGAAGGTTAAAACCTGGTATGAGTTCAAGTGTGGATCGTCAAGGCAGTCATAGTGGTCATTATGAACATAATGTTCACAATGAACCGTCATCTGTTCAATATAGTGAAGAGATTCAAAAAAAGAAACAATATGGCAAAGATATTAAAGGCAAGTAATAAAAATTATTTGTTGAAATTAATAATGTGACAAAAGATTTATTTTAGGAAGTGCAAAAACAAACAAGAATGTTGAAAAGCATATTAAGCCTATTGATATTTATATATTTAGTATGAAAAGTTTTTGTTAAATGATTTTAAATAGTTTACCACACAGCTAAACTCAAACAATGACACTGTTCTCTCACCTGAGAATGACAGTAATACTGTCAAAAGTACTTGTATGAATTTTGTTCAATTAAGCTGTTTATAATGCCAAAAGACAGATGCATTTTTTTATTTTTTATGTTTGTTTTTTATTTTGACATGAAGCACTTTGAATTAAGTTAATTTCATATCACTTGAAAAATGATTCATTATCATTCAAAAAAATATTTGTTAAAGTTATTTTAATAATATAGATAGGATATATACTTCTGATATAGTGGAAAAATTCATTTTATAAATGGAAATATGAATATTAAAATATTAAAATAGATTATTTGTAGTGTATCTTAATATTTCAATAACTATAGTGTGTTAAGATGTGAATTACAAAATGTTTTTTTCTATAAAGTTTGTAATTTTTGTATTGAAAAAGTACTATTGCAAGTATGAATCAATAATTAGAATTGTCTGTTTATTTTACATGTTAATTGCATTATGAATTTCCATTATTTTCAATAAAATTAGAAAAATCTAGCTTTATGATACAAAATCTGTAAAATAAAAATGCTTCTTTTTTCAACAGGTTATTCTATGCTTTGGAAACTCCTTACTTTGGTATTCACCCAGCAGAATGGTGCAAGTTCAAAAAAATGAATGCTTTTGGTCTTTTTCTAAGATCTGCTTCAGATCACAAATTTCAAATAGATGGAATGTCTAACATTTTGATGTTTGAATGTGTCAAGCGTAGAAGACCAAAAATGTTTGTTTTTCTGAACTTGCACCATTCTTCTGGGTAAATTCCAAGGTAGAGAGTTTCTGCAGCATAAAATAATCTTTAGGAATACAGAAATTTTTATTGTAACTGTTCAAAAAAATATTGGTTTGGTTTATTCTGTATTTTCAGTTATCCTATAGTTTTGCTGGAAAACAGATAAAGCCAGTTAATGAAAATTTATTGATGTTTCATAAATGTAATTGAAACATAAAAAGATGAAAAAATGTGACTGCTTTTTTGGAGGTGGAACATTCACAAGACTATTTTAGTTCAGTTAATCCAATTATCAATTGTCTACAACAGTGTTCTACAACCTTCTTGTTATGCACAGCACACCTAGGTGCTTTCTTGAATTCCATGGCACACTACAAATAAAAATATACAAAAAATATATGGGTTACAAAGTATTGATACATACCAAAAAACAATACTGATTTTATGTTTTTTTTTTTACTTGTGATGATATAAAAATATTTGAAATTAGTTTATAATTGATTTTCTTATTTCTGTTTTATTTCTTAACAACATGGAAACCACCCTAGACAATGTATCACATAGTTCTAGCATGAAAGCATGTGATCAGGGTCTTGACTCCATAATCTTAGATACATGCAACAGAGACATCATCTATTTGTTGCTTCACAAAAATTGAAATGGTGACTGTGACATGTGATTTCATGTACAGAGATTCTTTGAAATATGACTGCAAAAGTATAAAAGTTTGAAGCTTGTTAGAATTCCTTCTGTCACAAATGTCAGTGGCAAGTCATTGTCCCTTTTGAATCAGTATGTATTTATCATATTCACATGCCCACCTTAAATTCTGTGCTTTTCCTCTTCTTGTAGGCATTGTGCTGCAGCACACTGGTTGTAGAGCTCTAGTCTACAATTTGAGTAAATTTAAAATGATGACAGTTTTAAATGCAACTGTACCAATTTTCAAAAATATTTATTATTTTAATACAAGCTTAATTTTGCATTTCATAGTGAAATGTAAAAGTCAACAAATATTAAAGAACATATTACAGTGGAACCTTGCTTAATGAACGTGTCTCATATTGAGTAATTCGTATAACGAGCAAAACAAATTGTAAAAATAGACTCACTTAAAGAGTGACATTTCGCATAATGAGTGATGAGGAGAGAAGTCCCGGATTGTACACATGCTACATCAGTCTGTGTTTAGCACTTGTTCTGCTAGAATCTTAGTGTTACTTGTGATCACACATTTTTCCAAACTTGTTTACATGTAATATATCTGAACACATCAACATCAACAACCATAGTCCATTATTTAATAAACATGGCAAATGATATGCCAAATTCTTGGGCTATATAAAGACTATAATTAAATATTAGAAATTAATTAATTTGACTAGAGGTGGGAAGTTATGCTGCCCATCTCATATTAAATTTAATAATTATACAGTAAATACTGTATATTGTATAATTTTCTTTGAATTAACTTTTTTTTATTTTTTAACTCCTTTTGCCCTATGGGCACTAAGAGAGCCTTTTTATGCAAGCCCATTATGGGTTTGGCTAGGCCCACAATGGGGCTGCCGGGTGGTGAGGGACAGGGCCTGACATATCCAAATGGACCACCCCCGAAAAATTCCTGGGATTTTTCAACCCATTCGGATACGAACCCGGGTCCCCAGAGCAGTAGGCTGCTACCTTGACCACTCGGCCATCCAGCTGCTTTGAATAAACATTATACATAAAATATTTGAGTATTTTATTTTTTATTTTTTGGCATGGAATGCATTATTGTATTTTACATTAATTTATATAGGAAAAATTGTTTCATGTTAAGAGTAAGACTCTGGAATGAATTATGCTTGTTAAGTGAGGTTCCACTGTATTCAGAATAATGTTTAATGATAAAATACCAGAAGAGAACAATTTATTGAATCTGTTATGAGCCGTATTCGGGATATTAAAAGCTATTGTCAATAAAGTAATTTTCTTTATAATAGCAAGATGTTGATCAATATAAATAAAATTCACTAACCTTATGAAGACCTTGCATTTAATTGCAAAAACTGTTAAATGTCTTTGGTCCACACCTAGGATCTTCTTCAGATAGATTTCTTTAAAAAATTGAATCCCTCAGATGCTGGAATAGAAGAGAATCTTTATGCATTCCAAACTGGAATGTGATTTTTTTTTTTTTTTTGAAGAAATCTATGAGGAAAATTCTAGGTGTGGACTGAAAACATTTACAACAGTTTTCACAATTAAATGCAAGGCTTGCATAAAGCTAGTGAGTTTTATTTATAGCCATTGTCAAAAGTCAAAGTTAAGTAATATTATTTGGACAATTTTAAATGCATAATTTATACTTGCATAAATAAAATATATTGATGAGTTTGAATATATATTATTATCAACTTCTTTATTTTGTTATAGATATTCCTGCTTCCATGTGGAGGTTGCTGTGCAATCCCATATATGTTGTGACTTGTCTTGGTTCTTGTATGGAACTTTCAATAGTCAGTGGTTTTGTTATATTTCTTCCAAAATATTTGGAAACACAATTTAGTATTGGAAAATCAGAAGCAAATATTTTTACAGGTAAGGAAATTTGCTGTTAATAATATATTCATTATACATAAGTATGTTAATTAATATTAAAAAACTGTATAAAGCAAAAATATAAAGCAAAAAACTGTAGTTAACAAAATAAAAAAAAAATTAATAATTCTAATACTAATAGATTGTACTTGTATATATTTTACAAAACTGATATTATAAAGGGTCTTCCAAAAAGCACTATAGGATTTCAGTTATTTATACCTCACATCGTCATCTGTAGCTGATGTTTATTTTATTTTTTGTATGATCTGACACACATAATTTTTGACAATTTCAGTCATGGCTATGTATAGAATATTTGTAATATTTGTTACATTGTAATAAATTTTTACAATAAGAATACATTCTTATTCTAAAAACTTATTACAATGTAACAAAATACAGAAACTGGAGGGAATGTCAGAAAATAAATTCACACATTTTTTAAAAAACTTATTACTAGAAGCATTCTTTAAAAAATACTCATCAAAGAGTGTGTGATGTGTTTGGCATGATAAGCATCCAATAGAGCTCACAATTTGTAATCTAAGCACAAAATTTGAAGAGACTGGTGCAGTTTTTAATTGTCCAATACCTGGTAGGCTGAGGAATGCCAGAATAAATGAAAACATCAATGTAGTATGTGAAAGTGTTGATTGGGATCCAAGAATGTCAATTTTGCATCATTCACAAAACTTGTGACTAACACCATCAATTGTTTGGAGGGTTTGACTTCCACACAACTCATGACAATATCACTTTGTTACATATCATTTTTCCAGGGCAAATAATTTCTCATAAAGGTGATGTCAATTTTCCTCCAAGATCATGTGATTTGATGTCACTAGACTTCTTCCTTTGGGGTTTTCTGAAAGGAAGAGCCTATGATAAAAATCCTCAAACCATTGCTGATCTTAAACACATTTGTCATACTATTTGAGAGATTACACCAGAAACATGCCAAAAGGTTACTGAAAATTTCAATCACCAGATAGATGTTTGTAGACAGTCATAGGGGACATTTATATATCATCATCTTCAAAGTATAATTGTGATGGATCACTACTTAATGTGAAATAAATGAACCACTCATATATTAAGTCATTTGTATTTTGTAAACAACTAAAAATCTATAACCCTTCTTGGAAGACCTTTATTTCTTAAACATAAATGAATAATTAATCATTTATATTATTCAACTAGGTTACATCCTATTATTAAGTTATATAAGTTATCCTATACAAGTTATAAAATTAAGCATTATTTGGTCCATGCTATACAGTATATTAACAATGTAAACAATGCTATACAGTATATTAACAATGTAAAATCTAAAGGAAATAGATAAAATATTAATTTATTTTAATCAGAATTAAAAGAAATGTGCTTTAATTTAAATTTATAAAAATTATAACTATTAAGTTAAAAAAAAAAAGTATATAAAAATATATCTATATATATATATAATTGCTTGTCCTGACCGACTTAATGGCTCACTGATTTATCATCGCCCAGAGCAAACCGCTGAACCTAAAGAGGTGAAATTTGGTACACAGTTAGGGTACGTCATGAAAACGCACACTAAGAAGGGATTTTTCTAAATTCCCCCGCAGGGAGAGAGGGAGAGCATTAAGGCTTAACCAGAAAAACGGCTTCTACTGTACTATTTTAGATGCGATTTTTTGTTTTTATCTGCATTTAAGTAGGGTATGCCATGGCAATGCACATTAAGAAGAGATTTTTCGAAATTCCCCGCGGGGGGAGAGGATTTAGTCTTCATCGAGTACTTGGGTGTATTAAATTGATAGCATTTCAGACATTGTTATAAATATTTTTATCTATTTCGATTTTAAAAATGTTTGAACCATTTTAAATTTGAATTTGTTATTGCATATTGGTTCGATTATAGAACGATTGTAAACGTTCCAGAAAATCAATAAAATTGAAAATAGTTCGTTTGATTCTTGGCAATTCTTATCATTCTCAGCGGTAGGTGTTATATAACAATTACTATGGTTGTTGAAATACTGAATATAAATGGGGTTTGCTTGCAAAATCGCGCGGGCAAAGCCGCGGGTAACAGCTAGTGTATATACTGTATATATATAATTGTAACATGATAATTAAGAATAGAAGAGATTTTAAATTTGAGTTTTTTATAAGTAGTTATATAGTATAAATATTTACTATAAGAAATATTATTTTTAGTATCTTATGAATTAGTATTTTAGTATTTAAATATATATTATGAATTTTATATGTATTTCTATATTAATTTTTATCTTAGTTATCAGGTTATTAATTATTTAATAATAATTAGTGCATAACAGGATATTATTTTAGTATGAGTATTATATAAATTATTATTTTAAAATATAATAAAAATATTTATTTTTTAGGAGGCATTGCCATTCCTGGAGCATGTGTAGGTATATTTATGGGAGGATACCTCCTGAAGCGATTTCAGCTGCAACCAAAAGGTTTGTCTGTTTCCAAATGACATAACAAACTATTATTTAATTTCATTAAGCAGAAACTGAAAAATATGTTTTTGTGAAATAATTATTTAATCTAATTAATATTAGTAGATAATATAAAATAAAGCAAGCAAAAATTCACAACATTTTATAATTTGAGAAGTAGTTCTAATCTAATTAGAAAAAAATTTAGCTTTAATAAGAACTTGATAATTACATAACAAATTTATAAATTGCATAAGGAAATATTTCTGGAATTGCTACAGTATGTATGATGATTTTTTAAAACCATACATATGATAATATTCTAACAAATATTTTAAAAATAAACACTTGCTTATTGCTATTCATTTCATATATTATCAAAGACAGTATGCAGAAGACTTTGCCAAATAGTTTTTCATACAATGTTACTGTTATGTTATATTCTTCATGCATTATTATAAATTAGTTGTACACTATTATATTAAATACAAAATGCCATTTATCCTTACAATAAAAGTCATCTTTGTATTTCATATAATTTTTCTATAATTCATTCATTCATTTTGATTGTAATTTATTCTGCAAATTATTTTAAAACCAGTATTAAAATTTTTAGTATTAGTGTATCATGGAATTGAAGAAAATAAATTCTAAAAAATATTATCACATCAATTTTATTACATAATTAACTAAAATATTAATTTTATAGGAGCAATACAATTTGTTCTTTTCTTCAATTTGGTGTGTATGGGACTGTATACATTGTTATACTTTTTGGGCTGTGACAATATCAGAATGGCAGGAGCCACATTACCATATTTCAACAAGTAAGTATAATTTTTAAGAGAGATTTTAGTGTTTTTATAACAGTTATTCAAGATTTTAATTTATCAAATATATTATTCCAGTACTGAATTGGAAACATTCCAAGTAAATCTCACAGCTGATTGTAATATGGGTTGTCGATGCAGCCCCAATGACATAGAGCCCGTGTGTGGAAGAAATGGTATCACTTATTTCTCTCCATGTCATGCCGGTTGCAAAGCAGAAGGAGGTCACCGTCCATTTGTATGTTTCTCAATTATATCTATTGATATATAAATTTTAAGCTTATTTATAGGTTAGTTAAATTGATATTTAAAAATAAACGAATAAACAATCAAACACCTAAAGTATGAATTAAAATTTTAATTAGCCAATAAGAGTTTAAATGTTCAAAACCTGATGTAATTATATAATTACGTCATCTGGTTTTTGAAAATAAAATTTGATGATTCTTTTTAATGTTGGTTAAATATGTTATAAAATAGTAATAAAGATTCATTTAAATAGCCATGCACTTGGCAGAGATTCAGTATCTTTAGTGTTGTTAGTTTTTCTTTTTTGTTTGTTTACAATTTTTGGCATTGTAACATTTTGACAGAGTTACATAAGCAAAAACATTAGTTTGTTATTTTTGCAATATTTGAATATTGCAAAATATTCAAAGGTATGTATTTGTTTGTTCAAACAAAAAATTAGTTCTAATAATGCTTTTTTGAAATATAAATTTTCAGTTTGATTTCACAACCTTACCATAAACTTAGTTAATACATTTTTACTTTCTCCACTCAAAATTCACAGTTCTGGTTGGCACTCAGAGTTGCACAAGTTAATCTGTAGAATAAACAAATTATTTTTGATTGTTATAAGAGAGACTCATCATCAGCAATTCTAGAAAAATACAGTAATGTACAAATATTATTGTAAATATACAAGGTGATTTTTAATTCATGCAAAACTTTAATAACTTTTCAACTGAATGAGAGAAATAAAATTCAAAAAGTCCTATATAGTACAATGTTTACATTTTTGATGTCGATGATTGATTGATGTTAACAGTCATTTTCAAAATGGTGGCACTCACTTTAGAGTATTAGAATTTTAATAATTCTTTACAATAAATAAATTGTTTTAAAACAACGTGTTTATTGTAAAGAATTATCATCAAAATTCTAATACTCCAATTGGTGTGCTGTCAGGTCTAGTGGAGTTTAGACCATTCTTCTTCGAAAAGAACATTACTTTTGCTGCATATGTTGAATTATTGGAAAAGAAGTTTTATTACAAAATGCTTGTTGGGTATAAACATCATCGTGCCTGGTTTATGCAAGATGATGCAAGGCCCCATCACACAAAGCAAGTGTTCAAAAGCCTTTACAGTATGTTTGAGAAGCGAGTAATCAGATTAGATTATGAAAAATATGCTGGTGGCAGTGTGGAATGACTGCATCATAACTTAGAATTAGCTCCATAAAAAAGAAATCACATGGGTTTATCTTAAAGATAGAGTATATCATAATGCTCTTATAACTATTGAAGAATTGATAGACATAATAAAAAAAGAAATAATGATAATTCCAAGAAAAACCTTTATCATCATTATTGAATGCTTAAAAAATCAGTTTACCTTTGCCCACAATAATAATTTTTGTCATTTTGAAACATAATTCATTAAATGGCAATAAATTCTGTATAATATGCTTTTTAATTTTCTTTTTATCTCATATACTTGAAAAGTTATTAAAGTTTAAAGTTTTGCAGGAATTAAAAATCATAATGTATGCAATACATAATAAGTATAATGAAAATGGTTATTTCATATAAGAAAACATTATAATTTATTGAAGAAGTCAATGTTAATTTCTGTAAATGATGATTAAAGTTAGATAGTTGTGTAAAGTACTATATTATGTTTACGCCTTTTAAATGATTATTGACATGACTGTGTGCCGGAAATAGCCATTCCCTAACGGGTACTTTATGCGGATTCACGTTAGTGTGCCAGGCCTGGACTTTAAGCGTGCACCGAATTAAATAATGATAGTTTGTCAAAAACAAATCGAATATTTAATAAATATTCTAGTACTAACTATATACAAAATTTAGTAAAAATCAAGTAACAATTTATTCAATGAAAATCAATAAGAATCAACCCGACAAAACTCAAATCAATCTATTTTCTAACTTAATTCTATTTCCCTTTGGAATTTGACAGAATTCAAAGACTTAATTTATGTACAATAATTCTTATGAATTAAAGATCCTAATTGTCACCTCAATATACTAGGAACCCTTTTCCTCAACTCTCAAGACTTTCTCTAATCTTCGATCCACAAATCGAATAACTTCAAAATCGCCTTGGAACTATTTTATCTTATTGGACACCTCTCTCTCGTTTGCTGCTATGAAGCTCATTACGCTCGTTGCTAACAGAAGCTTACCTCATCCATCTTCACTTGAGGTTCGGTCACCTCACAGTATAACTGTGAGGTGACGTCACAATTCTGAATCGATCACTCCCCTCATTTACATACTTATTTGTAACAATAAACTTTTTCTATTCGTCTGGCAGCCTATTTTCCGACAATACTCACTAACCTTTTACATTATTCTTTTTGACAATTTTCGGGATGTTTTTATTCTTTAAGGTTTAGCAAGGTCCTAAGTTATGCTTGTGGGGTCTCCCCCCTTTTCTCGGTGCGGACTTACTTTTTTCTGCTCAGGAGCGCAAGTGTTTGCGAGTTTTTCCTATGGCGCTTTTCTCTCATTGGTGAGTTAGTTTCTCTTCTATTTTTAAGTTTCTAAGGTGAATGGTGAGGAAACCTTTGTCCTAACAAAACATAAGCCCCAAACAAAATACAATAATAAGCAAAATAAAAGTAACTAAAAATAACACTAGGACTTGGTTCCTTACACCGTTAATGTGCCTGGCCTGTTCACCATGCTCACCACACTTGTTGCTAACAGAAGCTCACCTCTGTCATCTTCACTTGAGGTTCAGACTTTATACTGTGAGGTGATGTCACAATTCTGAGTGAGATCACTCTCCTCATTTACATACTTATCGCTAACAGTCAACTTTTCCTTTCTGCCTGGCAGCCTATTTCTCGACAATACTCACTAACCTTTTACATTATTCTTTTTTACAATTTTTCGGGATGTTTTATTCTTTAAGGTTTAGCAAGTTCCTATGTTGCTTGTGGGGTCTTCCCCCCTCTTCCTCGGTGCAGACTTACTTTTTTCCACTCAGGAGCGCAAGTGTGCACAAGTTTTTTTTTCTATGGCACTTTTTCTCGGTGAGTTGGTTCTCTTTCTTCTATTTTTAAGTTTCTAAGGTGATTGGTGAGAAAACCTTTGTCCTAACAAAACATAAGCCCCAAACAAAAATAGAATACAAAGCAAAATAAAAAATAACTAAAAATAATGCTCAGACTTGGTTCCTTACAGTTGTTCTTTGTTAACATTCCTTATTTGCACATAACTGTCATTTTCAGTGGTTATCAGAAGCAAATCTTGGAGTAATTTTAAAGTAATAAAACTTATTAAAATAGACTTTTTAGAGCGCATAATTGTTTGAATACAAGATATAACGAGTCTACATCTATTTAATATTATTTATTTACACATAAAGAATCAATCTTTTAATAAAANGATTATTATTAAAGCTTAATAAAAATTTTTTATTAAACTTAATAAAAAGATTTTATTGTAATTATACTTATAAATACAGGATGTTTTTGAAAAGTCTTGCCAAATTTTAACAGCATGTTCTATAAATTAGTGATAAACTTCCATATAAACATAGGTCCAAAAATGCTTCCTTTTCAGGTTACAGTAGTTTAAAAGTTCTATATACAGTTAGTGTGTTTCATGTATCTTGCCATTAGCTCAGCTATATGTAAAATGAATATCTTTCATTTCTGAGTTAGAGTAATGGTTCATTGTATTAAAGAAGACTTAAAATGTCACTTGAAAACATAGAAAAATATAGATATCAAATCATAGCTGCTATTAATTTGTATTATGTAAAAGTGTTTAATTACAGCTAATTTTAAAATTATTGTAATTTCAAAAGGAAGCATTTTCAGATCTTTGTTTATGTGGAATTTTTTATGATCCATAGAACATACTGTTACAAAGATGATACCTTTCAAAAACACTCTATATAAAATATTTCTCCTGCTATTTACAGAGTTGAATCTTTAATTAGTTTTTATTTCATTTATTATAAAAATCATTTAAAATTATATACTAGTTTATTTTAATCAAATTAAAATAATAATTGGATATCATAATTTTATAACTGTTTAAATAAACTGTATGAAGTTATTCTTAAAATAAGTTAATTAATAAATTAACTTATCCTAGAGATAATTCTCTAGGATGTATATTTGAAATTTTAAAAACTGATATTTGTTTATCCTAATTATATTCTTGAAATAAAAGCAAATTTTAATATAAGTTATATTAAAGTATTATATATGTCACTGTTATATTAGTGAAGTTTTTAACTTTCAATAATTTTTGCATGCAATATTAATTAAATTTTCATATTCTTATATTTTTTGCTTTCATTTACTCTTCAGGTTGCAGTACCATTCTTTGCTTTCCCAAAAATTTTAAAGCGAGAAAAACAGAGATTGTTGAGAAGTGAAAAAATAGAATTTCTGATGAGAAGGTTAAAACCTGGTATGAGTTCAAGTGTGGATCGTCAAGGCAGTCATAGTGGTCATTATGAACATAATGTTCACAATGAACCGTCATCTGTTCAATATAGTGAAGAGATTCAAAAAAAGAAACAATATGGCAAAGATATTAAAGGCAAGTAATAAAAATTATTTGTTGAAATTAATAATGTGACAAAAGATTTATTTTAGGAAGTGCAAAAACAAACAAGAATGTTGAAAAGCATATTAAGCCTATTGATATTTATATATTTAGTATGAAAAGTTTTTGTTAAATGATTTTAAATAGTTTACCACACAGCTAAACTCAAACAATGACACTGTTCTCTCACCTGAGAATGACAGTAATACTGTCAAAAGTACTTGTATGAATTTTGTTCAATTAAGCTGTTTATAATGCCAAAAGACAGATGCATTTTTTTATTTTTTATGTTTGTTTTTTATTTTGACATGAAGCACTTTGAATTAAGTTAATTTCATATCACTTGAAAAATGATTCATTATCATTCAAAAAAATATTTGTTAAAGTTATTTTAATAATATAGATAGGATATATACTTCTGATATAGTGGAAAAATTCATTTTATAAATGGAAATATGAATATTAAAATATTAAAATAGATTATTTGTAGTGTATCTTAATATTTCAATAACTATAGTGTGTTAAGATGTGAATTACAAAATGTTTTTTTCTATAAAGTTTGTAATTTTTGTATTGAAAAAGTACTATTGCAAGTATGAATCAATAATTAGAATTGTCTGTTTATTTTACATGTTAATTGCATTATGAATTTCCATTATTTTCAATAAAATTAGAAAAATCTAGCTTTATGATACAAAATCTGTAAAATAAAAATGCTTCTTTTTTCAACAGGTTATTCTATGCTTTGGAAACTCCTTACTTTGGTATTCACCCAGCAGAATGGTGCAAGTTCAAAAAAATGAATGCTTTTGGTCTTTTTCTAAGATCTGCTTCAGATCACAAATTTCAAATAGATGGAATGTCTAACATTTTGATGTTTGAATGTGTCAAGCGTAGAAGACCAAAAATGTTTGTTTTTCTGAACTTGCACCATTCTTCTGGGTAAATTCCAAGGTAGAGAGTTTCTGCAGCATAAAATAATCTTTAGGAATACAGAAATTTTTATTGTAACTGTTCAAAAAAATATTGGTTTGGTTTATTCTGTATTTTCAGTTATCCTATAGTTTTGCTGGAAAACAGATAAAGCCAGTTAATGAAAATTTATTGATGTTTCATAAATGTAATTGAAACATAAAAAGATGAAAAAATGTGACTGCTTTTTTGGAGGTGGAACATTCACAAGACTATTTTAGTTCAGTTAATCCAATTATCAATTGTCTACAACAGTGTTCTACAACCTTCTTGTTATGCACAGCACACCTAGGTGCTTTCTTGAATTCCATGGCACACTACAAATAAAAATATACAAAAAATATATGGGTTACAAAGTATTGATACATACCAAAAAACAATACTGATTTTATGTTTTTTTTTTTACTTGTGATGATATAAAAATATTTGAAATTAGTTTATAATTGATTTTCTTATTTCTGTTTTATTTCTTAACAACATGGAAACCACCCTAGACAATGTATCACATAGTTCTAGCATGAAAGCATGTGATCAGGGTCTTGACTCCATAATCTTAGATACATGCAACAGAGACATCATCTATTTGTTGCTTCACAAAAATTGAAATGGTGACTGTGACATGTGATTTCATGTACAGAGATTCTTTGAAATATGACTGCAAAAGTATAAAAGTTTGAAGCTTGTTAGAATTCCTTCTGTCACAAATGTCAGTGGCAAGTCATTGTCCCTTTTGAATCAGTATGTATTTATCATATTCACATGCCCACCTTAAATTCTGTGCTTTTCCTCTTCTTGTAGGCATTGTGCTGCAGCACACTGGTTGTAGAGCTCTAGTCTACAATTTGAGTAAATTTTAAATGATGACAGTTTTAAATGCAACTGTACCAATTTTCAAAAATATTTATTATTTTAATACAAGCTTAATTTTGCATTTCATAGTGAAATGTAAAAGTCAACAAATATTAAAGAACATATTACAGTGGAACCTTGCTTAATGAACGTGTCTCATATTGAGTAATTCGTATAACGAGCAAAACAAATTGTAAAAATAGACTCACTTAAAGAGTGACATTTCGCATAATGAGTGATGAGGAGAGAAGTCCCGGATTGTACACATGCTACATCAGTCTGTGTTTAGCACTTGTTCTGCTAGAATCTTAGTGTTACTTGTGATCACACATTTTTCCAAACTTGTTTACATGTAATATATCTGAACACATCAACATCAACAACCATAGTCCATTATTTAATAAACATGGCAAATGATATGCCAAATTCTTGGGCTATATAAAGACTATAATTAAATATTAGAAATTAATTAATTTGACTAGAGGTGGGAAGTTATGCTGCCCATCTCATATTAAATTTAATAATTATACAGTAAATACTGTATATTGTATAATTTTCTTTGAATTAACTTTTTTTTATTTTTTAACTCCTTTTGCCCTATGGGCACTAAGAGAGCCTTTTTATGCAAGCCCATTATGGGTTTGGCTAGGCCCACAATGGGGCTGCCGGGTGGTGAGGGACAGGGCCTGACATATCCAAATGGACCACCCCCGAAAAATTCCTGGGATTTTTCAACCCATTCGGATACGAACCCGGGTCCCCAGAGCAGTAGGCTGCTACCTTGACCACTCGGCCATCCAGCTGCTTTGAATAAACATTATACATAAAATATTTGAGTATTTTATTTTTTATTTTTTGGCATGGAATGCATTATTGTATTTTACATTAATTTATATAGGAAAAATTGTTTCATGTTAAGAGTAAGACTCTGGAATGAATTATGCTTGTTAAGTGAGGTTCCACTGTATTCAGAATAATGTTTAATGATAAAATACCAGAAGAGAACAATTTATTGAATCTGTTATGAGCCGTATTCGGGATATTAAAAGCTATTGTCAATAAAGTAATTTTCTTTATAATAGCAAGATGTTGATCAATATAAATAAAATTCACTAACCTTATGAAGACCTTGCATTTAATTGCAAAAACTGTTAAATGTCTTTGGTCCACACCTAGGATCTTCTTCAGATAGATTTCTTTAAAAAATTGAATCCCTCAGATGCTGGAATAGAAGAGAATCTTTATGCATTCCAAACTGGAATGTGATTTTTTTTTTTTTTGAAGAAATCTATGAGGAAAATTCTAGGTGTGGACTGAAAACATTTACAACAGTTTTCACAATTAAATGCAAGGCTTGCATAAAGCTAGTGAGTTTTATTTATAGCCATTGTCAAAAGTCAAAGTTAAGTAATATTATTTGGACAATTTTAAATGCATAATTTATACTTGCATAAATAAAATATATTGATGAGTTTGAATATATATTATTATCAACTTCTTTATTTTGTTATAGATATTCCTGCTTCCATGTGGAGGTTGCTGTGCAATCCCATATATGTTGTGACTTGTCTTGGTTCTTGTATGGAACTTTCAATAGTCAGTGGTTTTGTTATATTTCTTCCAAAATATTTGGAAACACAATTTAGTATTGGAAAATCAGAAGCAAATATTTTTACAGGTAAGGAAATTTGCT